AACGTCGACCATGACAGCTATGCTGTAAAGCTCTAATAGCGCGTACGTGCCCCAGAAATTTCGCGAATGTCATTACTCGCCACACTGGTCCCCTAACAATTAACAAGGGAACACACTTTGGGCTGCCCAGAGAGCCTGCGGCGCAGTGGTTAGGCCCGCTTGAGCTTTTAATATTAACCATCTATACAAAGTACTCGGGCGGTAATTGATCGCGTGGCAGCTTATGATCATCATAATTTTGATCTGCGATACAACCTCGAACCTCGACAACAACAGACCTTCAGTAAAAAAAATGTCGAAAATTGTGACTTAAGGACGAGACGAGACGCTGTAGTTGTTAATCACTCTGTTTAATTTCACCTTTTTTGGCGCTTTTGTACATGAGAATAGCCGAACACCGACACGAAAAACGTCGTCGTTTTTTTTTTTTCCTCTTTCTCTCAGACTCGGTGGATTTGAGGCAGAAATGGGGTAGTGACGCGCTGTGATATCAGAACCGAAGTTGGGTGGCGTGTCACTGGGTGGGTCATTGTCGAGCTTGGTAATGTCGCGCGATGCTTTTATTTTAAGGATATATGTTTGTATGGTTGTATGTACATGACCGAGCAAGCCGCGGGGTTCCTCGAGGATTCGGTGCACTCCGATGACCCCGTATTCCTCGCGTTTCGTCACGAATAGCCGCAGTGTTTTGTGACGTTCAATCGTGCAAAAAGCAGTGTTACAACGCTGGTTGCGTCAAACGAAGACAGTGAGAAAGCGTCAGAGTCACACTTTTGTACAGTTCTCCAGCCATCAAAAAGTCGTTAATAAGATATGTCATTAACATTTTCCGACAACGTACAAAAATAACAAAAATAAATCAACCGTTACACTATTGTCTAGCCACGTGGTGGCGTAGCGGCGAGGCTTCGAATGAACGCAGCTGCGACGTCTCTGCGCAGCTAATCTCGTGACGTCACTCGCGCTCCGGTGTCTCAAGGTCATCGCGACGGGATGAATGACCTTGCGTGGCACGGCGCAGCGTATTTTTTGCTCTAGAAGCTGAAAAAAAACGAATAAAGCAGTCATGACTGGTCAGAAAAGCTTCGAAAGCTGCAGTGACTACGCTTCATCTCTCTGTGACGTCACGGATTTGTCAACATTTGCTGCAGCACTTAGTTAACTGTTTGCCATTCTGAATGTACCCTGAGTTTCGGACTATCCGATTGAAACAGACTCGGCACATCACGACAAATTTAATGTGTCCCAATGCACCAAATTAGTGACGTCATACATTGAATGCAAACTTATCAGTTACGTCACGCTGATGAAAGGCCTGATTGTGACTTCAATGCGAAACTCTTATACAGAAAACTGGAGCTCTAAGTTTATTTTTACCTACATTAGTTCATCTGTAACCACGAAATCAATAAAGCAGAATTCGGAATTATATCTGTTGAGCCTTAGTTAATAGTTTCCTTGTTAATGTCCCTTTAAGAGGGCAGTTACTACGATGCACTCGTGTTCGAGATGACAAAGCTGTTTTGAAATTAGAACGGCTATATTTCCTTTTACGGTGGGCTAATTAAAAAATACGCCAGCTGATAACAAAAGAAACGAAGCAGCAACGCAGTTAAGCATACAATGAAGCGATTCGTTTTGTTAGTCCAAACCGAACGCTGCTTCTGAGACTGCAGCGCCTTTGCAGCAGCCACGGTAATGTTGTATCAATTCGGCTGTGCTAACTTACCAGCACTTTAAAAAAAATTATACCATGTTATATTGCACACTCGCGCAGTGATTTGCGTCTAAAGCAAGATGAATGGCCAAAGAGGTTCGAACAAAGGATCGAATCAACGTAAAGTGTGTCGAAGAAATGTTGACGACGAATATGAAAAGTGGTCGCGTGAACCACAACTGAATCTACGATTTCAACTTCGATTCTTGTTGCGAAACCTCTTCAGTAGGTATATTTAATATACATTTACCAATAGCTCTCGGGCTTCCATAAACGGACACATAGATGACGTGTGCAAAAAAAAAAAAGCTACAACTTTGTGAGAAGTACCGTGTGTGAAGCTCCTGTCTTGGCTTCTTTCGCATTCACTAGAGCACCGCTATAGTCGAGTAAAAGCGGTATTCGTACTAAGCGGCAACCACGAAGAACGTACTTGCGTCGCACTTTCAAAGTTATACGTTGGGAACCACCGCGCCGTGTCCCTTGTATCACATGGGACGAGCGAAAGGGAAGAATAACGTTTTGGAGCAGAATCATCGCGTTATCCAATGCCCTTGGAATGGAATAAAAAAAAAAACTATTTCAGTCTTGCCGGACGCGCTTAGCGCGTAGAGGGCGTCTCCCACGTAGGGACCGACAGAGGGTACTTGGCGGCCGCTTCGTGGGCCTGCTGGGTCAAATTCCCTTGTTTTTTTTTGTGTGTGTATGCTTGAATATTGATGTGGTCATAAGCACATTGTTGTTTGAATAAAGAGTCTTCTCGTTTTGTAATTTCTATCAACCCCTTTCCGAATACAGGGTAGACGACTTCAGTTATTTCCTTTGGTTATATTCCCTGTCTTTCCTCTGTACGCCCCCTTCCTTTCTACTACCCTTCCCTAATCCCGAAGTGTAGGGTAGTGAACCGGAAGCTTACTTGCTTGCTTTTACCTCTGTTCTGGCTCTTACCCACTGAATTGGGTTAGCCGAGAAGCCGGCAGTTAATGTGAGTGAAGAAATAAAGTCATAGGCGTTTTTCTGGGTAGTTCTTCTTATTCACCGATTATCTTAGGCGCACGGGTACTGGAGGGGACTGGCCAAGAATGGAGTGGTTTTATGAAATATTATGAAGCTTTATAATTAGGGCCGTTCTAGAATAGAAATATTACAGATTGCATAGAAAATTATGTTGCTCGATTTAATGTATGTATTTATGTTTTTTATATGAAACAAAGCTCTCTGTTTATTTTTATTATTTTTGATTAAGTAATCCTACTACCTTTTCTCCTTCTGTTTCTTCTCTTCGATGTGTAAGATTCTCGACTCCTTCTAGCGTGATCGCAAAAAAAAAGAACGGTAGTACAACTCACGAATTAAATATTCAGATGTTTGCATTCACACGTATTTGTCCCCAGCTGTGCGCCGTGATCGCGTTCCACGTGGTTGCCGCTTCAAGCGCTGTAACAGTCGCACGCTTGTAGCGTGAAAAGCACGACGCAGGTGCACGTATAAGAGGTGTAGCCTGTGGCGTTCCGGAGGTGCAACGGCACGGTGGCTTCGCGTCGTGACCCCCTTCTTGCGCGCATTCCGCGATCTCGACATTTGGCCACGATTCATCACTTTCGCGTTGTTAACTCATTCGATGATGATGCCAACATGTTGCTACAACCGTTCCTGATACCATCACGCGCGGCCGTTAGTGCCATTTTAAGTCGTCTCTTTTACAGCGGTGCTGGTGAAGTCGCGTCCGGAGTGTACTGCGTCGTGACAGGTGTACTGCGTCGTGACAGGTGTACTGCGTCAGGACGCGCAGTTACGCAATGAAGTCTAAATTCTGTCTCGTTTTGATTATACTCTCGTCAAATGAAAGGAAGGCCATCAATTTAAAAGTGTGTGGCATTTAAGAAATTTGCTCTTGGACAATTTGGCGGAGCATCTATAAGCCATTTCTGCTTCACAAGCGTTTCAACTTCAAACTGTCTTTGGACATGTGCTCCATCTGTCGAACTCGAAAGAAGTGGCACGAATGGTGCTAAACGCCAGGAGATTGCCTGTTCCTTTGAAATATAACCGAAATGTTTCCCTTCTTTACGCGATGGCAACTACAGGCGGAGTTCTTTCCAAAGCCTGAGCTCTACAGCAAGTGGCATCCAGAAGTACCCAGGTCAAAGTGCAAATTGTGCAATAAAAGAAAAAAGTTTGGTCCACGCGATGTGGACATGTGCGACTCAGTACGATATCTCGCCCATTATAGAATCTCGGACGATTCTGCTCCGAAGCCAAGACCTCATCGTCCAGCAGAGTCAAACGTTCCTCCTAACGTGTCTGATAAGGGACCGCGGTGCAGCTGGTCTTTTCTCTTAACAGTCACTAACTAGTGTTTCAATAAAGTTATATCTCTCTTTCTTCGGCTATCTGCACGTGTTCCTGAGTTAGCACGGCCGTTTCCTCCGAATCGTCCCAGGCTGCACGCTATATGCGCGTTTACGAGATGTGTGGCGGTTGGCGAGCGGTGACGGCAGCTGCAGGTGACCGGCAGGCGTGTCCATACATTGGCGCAGCTCGGCGGCGGTGTGACACGATATCGGACCCTGCATCGGGTGGTCGTGGTCTGCTCGGCGGTGCGGGCGTCGCCCGCATTGCGTCGTCCCCACCCCGGCACCGGGTGTGGCGCTCGGTGTCAACGTGTGCGTGACAGATTGTGACGTCGTCCACCAGAGAACGGCGGCGGCTCTGCGCTCGCGCTGCGACTCGCCGAGCCGGTCGCCACTGCTCGACCCAGGGGATGTGTGGTCCCGTCGGGGATGTGCGTATCACCGAAGAAGATGCAACTGCACTTTGAGTTCTTTTGAATACCACAGGTTGGCGCAGTGGTAACTAAAATAAGTAATTGACAACCACTCTAACAACGGAGCTCATCAGGATGCCAGCAGTTGCCAGTGCGAGTACGAATTGGTCATCTCGAAGCACATGGTCTGAGAAGCACGTGGTACGAGTCCGTGTGCTTCGACATGTTCGACTAACTCGCCCTCTCGCTGCCTATCACCAGCTTTTCGGTTAGCTCGACTGGTAGAGTTTAGCCGCTGAATAATTGAAAAAGAAACAAAAGAAATGCTCGATTTCAAGACAGCGAGAGTCGTGAAGTTGTCAAAAAACCAAGCGCCGTGCAGCAGCAGCACCTTAGGGTTTAAAGCGGCCTCGAATACGGGGCACTGCGATCGTTCCCTGGGTTGAGTCAGTGCGCGCGCGGCGGCGACCGGCCGTCGTTCTGGGCAGCGCGAGCGCAGGGCAGCGCCGGCGGTGCCTAGCTGTGGTAGACCGGATGCTGGGACACGGAGGCGGGCGGCGCCCTGAGGGCCGAGAAGCCGCGCTGGTACCAGTCCTCCTCGGGCGACGTGGCGGCGGCCGCCCCCGGTTGGTGACCGAAGGGCTGCGCCGTGGTGGCGCTGTACGCCGGGTACCGCGCCGCCGGGTGCGGGTGCGCTGCTGCGGCGGCGTAGGCCGCGTACGAAGTCGTGCGGGGAGGGCCGTACACGCCGCGCATCATGCCGTTGCAGGCCGCGGGCGGCAGCGCCGCCGGCGCGGCCAGGGCCTTCTGCAGCTGCTTCTCCTGCTTGCGGTACTTGGCGCGCCGGTTCTGGAACCACACCTGCGCGGACGGAGATTGAGGCACGCGACTGAAGTCCAACGCAGGCGAACACGCTATCCTGCCCCACTTTACAGAGGCGTGCTATGAGACTTTTGTTTGCGTACTTGCAACAGCATCGGTCAGCTAGACAAGCTGTAGCTTGACACCGCGAAAAAACTATTAACGCACGTTCTCATTCAATGGTCGAAGAGGTGGCCTTTTCCTGTAATTCTTTTTATTCTATCATCTATATTTACAATTTGTCTTTTTCTCTCTCTCTTGCGAATGTTCTTCCCTACTCAATGCAGTTTTTTGCCAGAACTTTGTTGTTTCTTCTAACCCCTCAATACCTGAACTTTAGAACTGTAATTATCTCTCCATGGACCCCATTGTTACTGACCCAGGTGGTGTAAGTAAAATAATCCAGTCACTGAAACCCTCATCGAGCCCCGGTGTTGACCTTATTAACACGAAGTTCTTAAAAAGTACTGTTGTGTATTCCTCTATTATTTTGTGCAAAATATTCCAGCAGACCCTCGACACGAGCATCCTGCCGGCGGATTGGGAAGTCGGGAAGGTGGTGCCACTCCATAAGTCCGGTAACAAACACACGCCTAACAATTTGCGACCCATATCACTAACAAGCATTCCATGCAAAATTCTCGAACATGTAATTTTTTCCCATCTGGTCAAATTTCTTGAATTTAACTCTTTCTTCTCACCCACGCAACATGGTTTTCGAAAGAAGTTCTCGTGCGAGACCCAATTGCTTTCATTAACCCACAAGCTACACTTAATTTTAGATCGCCGTTCATCCGCTGATTGTATATTCCTCGACTTCTCCAAGGCTTTTGACAAAGTGTCTCACAAACTACTCCTTTACAAACTAAGCAAGTTAAATCTAGATCCTAAGTTGTTTGCATGGATTGAGTATTTCCTTTCTAATCGTTTCCAGTTCGTCACAGCCAATAACTATGACTATTCACCCAGTTCTGTTCATTCCGGCGTTCCCCAGGGCTCTGTCTTGGGACCACTTTTGTTTTTGATATACGTTAATGACCTACCTAGCTGTGTTCTCTCTAATATTCACTTGTTTGCAGATGACTGTGTTATTTTTCGAGAAATTAACAACGATAACGACGTTACGGCACTGCAATCGGACATTAATGCAATTTCTAACTGGTGTGAGCAATGGTTAATGGAACTTAATACAACTAAATGCAAAGTCTTACGCATTTCAAGAACAGCCCTTTCGACGGGTTCCTATTACCTTAACAACACACTTCTTGAACCTGTGACGTCGTACCGATACCTGGGAATTCACATAACAACTGATCTTACCTGGTCGCTTCATATTAATACCGTTATTAATAATGCTAATCGCCTGCTTGGCTACCTTCGCCGCAACTTCTTTTCTGCACCTACCTCTTTAAAAACACTTTTGTATAAATCATTGGTTCGTTCTAAACTCGAATATGCATCATCCATTTGGGACCCGAGCCATGACTATCTGGTGACATCACTTGAGCTCGTGCAGAACAACGCAGCACGTTTCATTCTCGGTAATTTCACCCGTGCGGCAAGTGTCACGTCCATGAAAAACTTGCTTCAATTACCCACTCTAACTTCGCGCCGCAAACACTCTCGCCTCTGTCTCTTTCACAAAATTTACTACCATAATTCGCCCCTATTCAGTGAGTTAATTACTCCTCTTTCATATACTTCTTCTCGTATGGATCACCGACACAAAGTAGGAACAATACCATGCAACACCAATGCCTTCTTTCAGTCATTTATTCCTCGGACGTCACAAGATTGGAACCGCCTTCCCGGACTGACCGCCGCAATCGAAGACAACCATCAGTTTCGTGCAGCACTAGCTAACATTGTATGATTAGGGCCCATGTATGTTTGTACTTATCTGCTTACTACTTTTGTTGCTGCTTTTTAGTTTTTTGTATAACCTTGTAACCCACTCCCCTCTGAAATGCCTGTAGGCCTTGAGGGTACAAATAAATAAATAAATAAATAAATAAATAAATAAATAAATAAATAAATAAATAAATAAATAAATAAATAAATAATATTTGTACTTTCAATCCTCAATCCCCTTCCCCATGCAGAGTCGATGACTTACCGAGCAAGTCATCGAATTTCACATGCCGGCTAAATTCTCTGCATTTCATTAAGGAGTTCTTTCTCTCTCTCTTTTGTTTATGCATATGTGCTTTCTCTGTAGATGTAACTGCTGTGGTGCCACTAATTTACATATTTACAGCGCAGGCAATTGTTGTTGATGTTACCTGTTATTAGTGTGCGACACTATAGCAATATATATGTTAGTCAGAATGGAGTCGTTGCGGTATTGAGTGGGCTTTGAGCAGCACAGGCGTACGCAATGTTTTTCATTAGGAATTCAATGGTTCACGGGTGATAGCGCCTCCGCCATCCCGCTGGTAGAATAAAAAAAAACTGGCTTCGTAATAGATTCAAACAAGAAGTACTGATGTGCTTGTCGCTATAGTCTTTCTTTAGGCTCTATAGGTGTAAATGCGGAAAGTAAACACTTAGATTTGCAATGCGACATTAGGGACCGTCGGCTGTCATGATCACGTAAAGTAAAACGTTTATAGAAATTGGTAAAGCCTTCGTTGTCATTACTCGGCCACGACCGTCCGGATCGGCATGCGCGGAAACGCCGCGGCGCGCCCCGATCCAGACGGTCGTGACTCTGCATTTAGGAATGAATGAACAGGTCCGATTGGGCAAATGTATAGGGCCGGGAAAAGGTAAACAGCATTTCAGCAACATTGATTGTTTGACGACTTCATCTGTATATGAACGTGGGTAACGTTAAGTGTGCAGCAAGAAAGATTATAGAATTTTCTTTCCGTAGCTGCAAACATGTGACCAGAGTGAAACTCTCTCCTGTGGCTAGAGTGAAACTACAGCCGTAAGCACCTTTTATGCGTGGTACGTACAGTTGCGAAGGCGTGACTTTTAGCTATATATGGATGCACTACTAACCTGAATGCGCGCTTCGTTGAGCTTGGTGATGCGTGCCAGCTCCTCGCGGCAGTAGATGTCCGGGTAGTGGCTCTTGGCGAATGCCGCCTCGAGCTCCTGCAGCTGCTCCTGGGTGAAGGTGGTCCGGTGGCGCCGCCTCGCGGGCGTCGTGGGACTACACGCGGTGGAGAGCACACCGCCGCCGCCGCACGACGACAGGCCCAGGTCGGACACGCCGGGCTCCAGCTTGAGCTTCTTGAAGGCACCGCCATCTCCTGCGAGCGCGTCGCCAATGATGTCGTTCGTTTCCGGAAGCGCAGAAGGATCGCTCATGACGTCGTATACCATGCGCAAGCTGTTTCGCCAATCGAAATGCTAATTAGCGTATAACCCTAATTAGAGCTATACGCTAATTAGAGTATATGCTAATTAGAGTATATCGAAATAGCGTATAACTCCACCAAAGGTGAAACGCTCAAGCTGGCTTGGTCACGGGGACATTACTTTGCTTCAATTAACCCTCACCAACCTTTTGTTCAATGCAGGGTGGTCAAAGCATATTTTTGGATCACTGCTGAGATAATAGGGTGTACCTGAAAAGCGCCCAACCTTGATATCGGCTCAGCATCTAGTGTTAACATTGTCCACGTGATTTATGAAGAAATATGCGGCAAAGAGAATATAACGACAATAGCGTAGGCGAGAAATAAACCTTTCTCTCGCTTTGAAACTTTGGTCGAAGTGCACCGAAAGACGAAGGCAAAAGAGGCTGACCGAAGCGCTGTCCTGTCAGCCTCTTCTGTCCGTGTCTTTTCGGTGCGCTTCAACCATGTTTTCAAACACGAACGTGATCCGCCTATAGCCCAGCTTGTCAATCTCTCGCCTTTGCACTCAAAGGGATTTAGGGGCCCGTTTGTATATTCACAAGTTTCCTCGGTGAAAGATCAGACTGCCGTATCAGAAACGACCGATTACCGATAAGCCCTTGATTGAGACCGCATTAGTTATTGAAAAACTGCGCGTAGAAATTGGCACGTGACCACCGCAACTTCAGGCCTCGCATTTCTGTGTACTCCTCGGGGCCAGTTTTTCGCGTAATATCAATGACGATGCCACCACTAAAACGTGTAACTCATGACAAGCTTCGTTTCAATAAACATGCGTCGTAATGGGTAAACAATCTGCACCATAAAAAACTGATCGTATACCCGTAGAGAGCGACGAGCAGAACAGGGCAGACAGTGATCCGGTTGATACGATCATTTCGGCGTGTGTGCACACACCATTCAGAACCACTTAGATTGAGCAGCCAGTCACTTACAAAGCCCCCGCACAGGCACGCGTCGCCATCGAAAAGGCACACCGCATTACACGTGCCTCTCGTCGAGGCACGCGAAAAAGGAGCCACGGGGCCCAAATACGAGATAAGACCGCCGCTTACATATATCCGGCCACCAAATAAAAGCTGGCGACGCTGTGTCAACACGTCGTCACCCGCGAGAAGGCCATAGAAGTACGAGCAGGGACGCCCGCGACACCTACTCGACACGCGGCGCGCCACGCGCGTCAAACTAGCTTCGTCGCGGCGTCCGGCATCGGGTGACGCGAGGACTTTCAGCGCTGACTGACAGCCATAACCTGCTATTCTATAGAGAACATAAGACACCCCTCCCCTCCCCCCCTACGCCTCCTCTCGTAGTGGTATAGGAACAGCGCGAGTAGGATGAGACATCATCGTCAATGTACTAACCCGACTACCCGCTGAATCTCGCACCCTCCGCGGGGAGGCACTTCTGTCGATCTCTCGTGCGCGCTCTTCTCACCAGGGGGCGCAAGCGACGGGGAGCCGCATCACCCCTCTAGGAAAGGGGCCTGAACCCCGCATCATTCTGGCTACCGTCGTTTCCCTAATAGAGACAAGCGATGCAAGCCCGTCTCTGACATCCCCTCCTCCCCTTTCTGAACTCGTCTCTGCACTCTAACCAAAGCCGGCCTCATACAGTGCCCGCCCACTCATCGTGTTTCACCAGTCGCCGGTGTAAATGTGTAGCGCGCCCCGTACGCCCCGCGCAAGCGAGAACAATGAAAAAAGGGGCTCGTAATGCAATGAGTTCGAAGGCGTCATGTGGCGGCATACAGAGTGCGCTGTGCTCCGAAAGCTAGAAGCGCGAGCTTGACGCCTTTTTCCTTTTTTCTTTTTTTTTCTTTTCAAAGCGATGCCCAGAATCGCGGCGGGAGCTGCATACGCGTGGCAGAAAGGCATGGAACAGATGCACCTTGCATTTTCCGGCCTCCGAGAATCTAGACGGACGTGAAAGGTGCGTACAGTTGTATTATTATTATTACTATTTTGACGTTTCAGGTCTCTCTTTGGACCTCCTCCCGGCTAGACTGAAAACCTGCCGCTTTGTCCGAGACAATACGTAGCATTTGGCACCTATACAGCTTAGCATGCGCTAACAGACGGTATCCGTCCAGCGATAACACGTCTTTTGTCTGAGGCGGCGTCTACCAAGTTTCTCGTTCATCGTCATCTATACAGATAGCCAGCTTGAACGAAAGCCCTATACGGCTGAAAGCACCTGCAAAACTGTAGAAACTACATTTTTAACCATAGCTCTTGCCACTCTGTTATACACGGGATAACTTTACGGTAGCTGGAAAAATTCCTAGACACGCAGTTTCAATCAAAGGCGGCGAAAATGGATGTGCACAGAAGACCGAGACTTGGACGCGTTGGCTTCCAAACTGCAGCGCCGCGCTACTTGGAAGCCTTGAGAAGTAACTCTCTCTGCGACACTGTCCAACCACAAATTAGGAGATGACATAAGTACGAGAGGACACAAACACGGCGTGGTTCCTTTATTGATGAAATAAAATTAATTGCAATTAATGACTTGACTTCTTTCTTTTCGATTCACGAGATACGGTGCAATGTCCTTTGGCCGCATCTTTCAATCATACTTTTTTTTTTCATAATGACACGTTCTTCCCGAAAAGCAAGCTATGTTGATACATAAATCAATCATAAATGAGTTACAGAGTACACAGTGTCATGTAAGGGGCATAGTACGCAAAGAGGCAAATTAATGCCTTACAGGGTGCCATCACCCGTCCCAGTCAATAAGGCACACAAGGAGCAGTAATGTACATACGTTAAATCACTATAAACTAAACAAGTAGTGACCGTTTCACGCTTTTCATAAGATTTCATCAAACATCGTTGCCACGCGCACTTGACTATTCATTTTGATGTGACTGGATTGTACCGACAAAAAGTTGCGGCCACAAAGAACACCATTATGTTTGGGCAACTTATCGATCGTTTTACTCTATTCTGATAAGATTGTGCACATGACATGTGTGGTCGAGTTTACTTTAAGCTAACTCAAAGCCCCAACGATCACGCAGACGTTTTCCACCGTTTATGCGTAAAATGGCAGATCTAGATCAGGTTCATGTGCTCTGTATCGAGCAATCATATTTCTATGGCAGATTGGGAGTTGCAGGAATTCCGAATTGCTCGGTGGAGCGAGAATTCTTGCTTCGGCGAAATAGGCGGATTTGACCAAAAGTCCTCGCGACGCTTTTCGTAGTCCTCCTGGACACGGCCGGATGTTTACACTCATGGGCCGCTAGGTACAAGAAGAAAGACACATCGCACCATGCGTTTGTGTTGCTCTCGTAGAGTAGCAGTTTGGACGCAGATACGACAAGATTCGAGTACTGTAAGAATTATTCAAACTCCGACAGCTACTGGGGGTCTTGTGCACCAATGACCGTTTTACATGACGTCACATGATATTCCGCTTGCCTGCCTAGAGGCATAAAGTGATTGGGTTCGTTGGGGAGGTCGTTCCGACGATGAGGTGCGGCGCGACTAAGGTGGTGATAGCGCGGAACTTCTTTTTATTTTTTCGACGTGATGTTTTCCTCTTAACTGAGTGCGTGATAAAAATTTTTGGTACAAAAGGAAGACACCTGGACACTTCTGTCTGTCGCCGCGTGTAGCTGAAGGATATAATTGCGGAATTCGCTGCCTAGCCGACATGCCCGCCAAGTAGCTTCAGACATAGGGGATGCAAAGTCTGCAGAAAGAAAATGCATGGAATGCTTGGATCACGTGGAGTCCTTGTTAGCTTCCCGTGTATACCATCTACTTCCGCCCAAACGCGCGTATTCCAACGGAAGATTTGGCGTAAGCGATCTCCCTCGGCGTTACGTGATTTGGCCGAGCGCTCGCGATCTGCCACGAGAATTCCCCAAAAGACGAGACGCGTTTCGCCGACGATCACATTACCGACGGTCACACACTTCGGGTGAGGCCCCGCCGATCCAACATCGACGTGCGGCAGACTCACAGGCTTCAACTTTTCGCTTCGGCCTGCGATGCCTGATAGGCCTCGAAGTGGCACATCTCGAATTTATTTTCAGGTTGGTAGACCCGTGCGGGGTTGCACGTGTGGTGATGTGTGGGCCCGACTGACGTACTCATAGAGCAGACACGGAGATTTGATTACACACAAACAAGCATTTAATTAAAATAGGGGCAAAGGCAGGAGCTAACAAAAATAGCGGAGGAAGAAAACTGGTACGTGATGAAAAAGAACGGCTATAAAACAAACTGTGCTCTCAAAGAACACTACAAGAGGTACAAAAAAAAACACAAATACGCGAAATGTTAATAAACTAATGACATGATGGAAATCGAAAGAGATACAAGAAAAATACATGAAAAAGATCATGCATGGTCGCGCTTTTTGAATTTCTACGTGCGACGCAGCGTACACATCTACAAATATTAAAAAAGGCTGGTTATAATAAATTAACAGTAAAAAAATCCACAATAAAACGTTCCACACGGACCAGGCCAGCTCTCGGTACATGCAGAGGAGTTGACGGGTGCCGCTGAAGGTCTCGCCGGCTTGGTAGACGACGAGGGTGCCCGGAATGGCAGCCGTCTCAATACGTTGCGCGGGTCACTCCATGCTCGTCGCCCACGCGAGACTCGCGACACCGACAACCACACTTCTTGCTGGCTGTACGTCAACTGCCTATTCCGATGCAGTCCAAACCTTTTCAGGGGCGTACGCGTGCTCCCGTCCCATCTGGGGGTAATTTCCCTTTTTTAGACCGCCCGTGCCCGTTTCGGTACAGGGAAGACGAGCCGGCGCCACACTTGGTCGTTATTCGCCGGATGTCGTCCTCTCAACACAAAAGCGCCCTTCCTTGGAAGACAGGGCCCGCGGACGATCCGAAAATTGGAGTCGTTTGT